ACACGCACTCACACACAAAATATTAAAAGAAAACTTAAAATTATTATTTAACTAATAACACCATTTTTTTAATATTTCATACAAATATTTTGTACATTGTTTTGTAGCAAAATATGAAAATACAAAAAAATACAATAAAGAAAATAAATATCCCTTTTTTGTTTTATGTTAATTATATATTTGTACACTTTTTCTTTTTTATATCTTGTACATTTTAACAAAAAATAATAATAATAAAAGAAATTTAAAAGAAAAGAAAATACAAAAGGTTTATTTTCTAAATAAATAAACAAACCTAAAAAAAATGTTGGCCTCCTTTGGCCACTTCAACAAAATGTAATTTTGACATTAAAATGTGCACTCTTCAGTTTTAGCAACATTTTTAACACACACAACCAATTAGCAGCTGCTGCATCAGCTGTGGAATGATGTTTCTGTCTTTCATCTAAACCTCTGAATGTTTGCATGTTGTGAACCTTCCTCTGGCTGTTTACGACGGAGACAAAACACAACTCGTCTGACGCTCCTGCCGTCCTCTGAGCTCTGAGACGTGACGAACGACTCGATGACGACCTCCTGACCTCATCAGAGACTAAACGAGGAGCGACTCTTTCAGCGGCATTTACAACCGGAGCTAATTACCTCCCACCACCTGAGATAACTAATTAACCGATGACCGCATGCAAACGGGTCAGGAGCACATCCTCAACAACAGCACAACAAAAGACTGCTTCGCCCCGAGGTCCATAAACAAGAGCGCAGAGCCACGGGAGGGTTAAACCGGTTAGGAAGTTGAGCAAACAGACTATATTTGAAAGACTAGATGGTGTTGGACAGCTGGGTGTCATATTTACCAAATCGCATTCATTCATTCTGTCTCACACGAGTCAATTCTCCCATCTAAAATAACTAGCAGGGTAGTTAGTACCTGCTCATGCTTCAGGCACGTTTCCCATCAAAACTAGAGAAGAATAACTTAAGTAGACCAAATCCTAATCTTCACAGGAGCAACAAATCCTTGTTCCTGCTAGTAAAAACTTGTAATTAAAAGCTGGAAATGCTATGACTGATCCCAGTTAACCGCTTAACTTCTAGTTATATTCTATGACATTACAAAAAATAAAAATAAAAAATGGAACAGTTAGCAACCTTCTACATGCTACTAGTTACTTACCAGTTGAGATCTTTAACCAATAACCCACTAGCCCAATCCACCCATTTTTCCCCTCTAAAATACCAGTCCAATCCACTAGACTAATCAACTAACTGGCCAGGTAGTTTAAATATCCATTTCCCATTAAAACTAGAGATGAATAACTCAACTAAACCAAATGCTAATCTTAACAGAAACAAGTAATGCTGTGTTTATTTATTACCACAGTTATTAGCTTCTGATTAGTAAAAACTTGTAATTACAAGTTGGAAACACTCTAACTAATCCCAGTTAACTTCTAGTTATCTGATGTGACATTACAAATTGGAACATTTGGCAACCTTACTGGTTACCAGTTGAGATCTTTAACCAATGACCCTGTTTTTATACTCACTAGTCCAATCCACACGTTTCATTTCTCCTTTCTAAAATAACTAGCAAGTTGGATTAAACATGCATTTCCCATTAAAAATAGAGATGAATAACTCAACTCAACTAAATCAAACCAAGAAAGAACTAATCTTTGAACTAATCGAGGAACTTGTAACAACAAGTTAGAAACGCTCTGACCAAGTTAATCCCAATTAACCACTTAACTTCTAGCTGCGGTAACATTACAAAACAACAACCAAATTGGAACAGTTCGCAACCTTCTACATGCTACTAGTTACCAGGTCAGATCTTCAGCCAATAGGCTAACCCTGTGTTTATAGTCACTAGTCCAACCCATTTCACTCATTTCTCCCATCTAAAATAACTAGCAGAATAGTTTCAAAATCCGTTTCCCATCAAAACTCAACTAAACCACATCCTAATCTTCACAGAAGGAACTAATCTTGTTGAAATTACCCTAATTATGAGTTCCAACCACAAGTAATTACAAGTTGGAAACACTCAGACTAATCCCAGTTAACCACTGTGACATTACAAAAAACAACCATAATAGAACAGTTAGCAACCACTACACATTACCAGTTACCAGTCCATTGGTCTCATTTATAAAACTCTCTGTAGATTTCATCCTAAAAGTGTGCGTACGCACAAAAGTTTTCAGATTTATAAAACCAATTTCCATCCACGTGACACCATGTTTAACACCGTCAAAGGTACAAGACATTAAGGAAATATGAGATACCATACACATTAATTTTTATTTTTTTGCTAAAAAATCATCCAGTATCCTTGTTATGTTTTAGAATAAATATATGAAAATATCCATAAAAACAAAACACTTTAAAATAGTTCTCAGATATATTTTAGAATAGAGTTGATCTCATTCTTTTACACTGGCCAAATTGTATTTCAATTGTTTTAAACAAAATGTCTAAATTCATATAACCTATTTTTTGTTTAACTTCTGCGTAATGACGTTTTGTGATTTCAGTGCTTATCTACATTAATGAGAGTGGAATATTTAATGTAAATGTGTGTATCGACATGAAAACAGAGTTTAAAATCATTGTTTACTTCATTCGTTTTCTCACTCCGGGAAAAAGAGTTTGCACACATGGTCTAGAATGTCCCTACGGTGCGTGCATATTTACACAAAGTTTATTTTTTATAAATCCGGATACGTGTGTGGAAAATTGCTTACGCATATTTATATGCCCATTTTGTGCGTACGCAACGTTTATAAATGAGACCCCAGATCTTTAACCACTAAACCCTCTAGTCAGCTAGTTAACAGTCTACCAAAGTCATTTCTCCCATCTAAAACAACTAGCATTGCAGTTTAAACATCTGTTCATGCCTCAGGCACCTTTTCCATCAAAGCTAGATAAGATCAACTCAACTAAACCAGAAAAAAATACCTCAAAACCAAAGCCGAACCTTTGTAGAAACAACTCATGTTGAATTAACAACTCATGTTCCTGCTAGTAAAAACTTGTAATTACCAGTTGGAAATGCTCTGGCTAATCCCAATTTACCACTGAACTTCTAGTTATCTGTGATATCACAAAAAACAACCATTTTGGAAAAGTTAGCAACCTTCTACATGTTACCAGTTTAGATCTTTAACCATTAAATTCTCTGTTTATACTAACTAGCCCATGACACCCTACATATTTATCCCATTTAAAACAACTTGCTTGTCCGCTCATGCTTCAGGCATGTTTTCCATCAAAACTAGAGAAAAACAACTCAACTAAACCAAAGCCTAAACTAGTCCTGCGTTCATATTGGAATTACAGTAATTATGAGTTTCCTGCTAGTTAAAAAGTGTGACATCTTTGTTCAGCTCATAACTACATTAGGTAACGCTCCGAATAATCCAGGTTAACCACTGTCACGTCACAAAAACCACCAAAATGAAAACACTAAACATTACCAGCCCAGATCTTTAACAAATAAACCCTGTTTATACTCATTAGTCCAGTCCACTCAAGTCATTTTTCCCATCTAAAATAACTAGGCTAGTAGTTTAAACATTGTGCTCAGGCATTTAAAACTCGTGCAACAGGCATGTTTCCAGTCAACCCTTCAGTGAGAAGACTAGTTAAACTAGAAAACAACTCAGCTAAACCAAAGCATTCACAGAATGAACTAATCCTACGATCATTATCCTATTTATGAGTTTCCCCGCTAGTAATACCACTCATGTCTTTGTTGAACTAGTAATTACAAGTTGGAAATGCTCTGACTTCCCAAAAACTACCAGTGTTGTGGGTGACACAATATTAGTAGTAGAGGTCGACCGATAGTGGATTTTGCCGATACCGATAGCTAGGTTGGACCACACTGGCCGATACCGATTAATTAACCGATAGTTTTAAAATTGATACTGAACAAAAACTAGAATAGTGCTTTATTAACAAAAACAGTACTGAACCACTAGTAGTAGTAGTAAAAAATAATAATAGTAATAGTAAATGTTGAAATTAACGCACTCTACGATTAATCGGCAAAACCGATACATCGGTCGACCTCTAATTAGTAGCGCAAGTTACGTAATCAGATTACTTTTTCCAGTAACTAGTAAAGTAACACATTACTTTTAAAATTACAATGAAATTTGTACTTTTTCAAATAAGTAACCCAAGTTACTTTGTTTTCCCATTTATTGACTGACAGCTCTCCTGCTTATTAATTTCATATTTGGTGTGATGTTCGGGCCTTACAGTTGCCAAAAATATAACTTTTGGGTTTTTTGTTATTATAAAACAAATAGGCAAGCCCAGCCCAGGTAACAAAAAGTAACACAAAAGTAACGTAATGGATTACTTTCCATAAGAAGTAACTAACGCAATTAGTTAGTTTTTCATGGAGTAACGCAATATTGTAATGCATTACTTTTAAAAGTAACTTTCCCCAACACTGAAAACTACCAAGAATGGAAGCAGCTTCACCAGTTACCAGTCCAGATGTTTAACCAGCACCAGTGTTGGGGAAAGTTACTTTTAAAAGTAATGCATTACAATATTGCCTACTCCATAAAAAAAGTAACTAAACGCATTAGTTACTTTTTATGGAAAGTAATCCATTACGTTACTTTTGTGTTACTTTTTGTCACCTGGGCTGGGCTTGCTTATTTATTTTTAATAACAGAAATGACTGTAAAGGCCCTTTCACACCAAGAGTGAAATTAATAAGCCTCAGGCTGAAGAAAATGCCTCTGCACTTACTCCCAATTTCTCTCAACACGGGGAAAGGAAAGGTGTCAGTGAATAAATGGGAAAAGAAAGTAACATGTTACTTATTTGAAAGTAACTCAGAAATTTTCTTGTTCATTTAAAAGTAATGTGTTACTTTACTAGTTACTTGAAGAAAGTAATCTGATCACGTAACTCGAGTTACTTGTAATGCATTACCTCCAACACTGACCAGCACACTCTTATACTCAGTCTTTCCAGAAAAAGTAACTAACGCGATTAGTTAGTTTTTTTTATGGAGTAACGCAATATTGTACACTCTAAAAAAATGGTGCTAAATAGCACTAAATGTGGTTCTTTGGCTCGTAATCATAGGGGAACCACTTTAAGTGCTACATAGCACCTATATCTTTAAAGATGGTGCTATATAGCAGCTTAACCACCCCAAAGAACCGCTTAATAACCATTACAGGTTCTTTATAGGTGCTATATTGCACTTACATTGGTTCCCCTATGATTAGCCAAAGAACCACTCAGAGGTGCTATATAGCACCTCAACTACCACAAAGAACCGCTGAAGAACCAATTTTTTTGTGTGAATGGAATATTGCAATATTGTAATGGATTACTTTTTAAAGTAACTTTCCCCCACTCTGAAAACTACCAAGAATGGAAGTAGCGTCACCAGTTACTAGTCCAGATCTTTAACCAGCACACTCTTATACTCACTAGTCCAGTGCAGAGGCTAAAGATGGCGTGGTGTTCCCTGCGATCGTTGACATGTCCTCTGAAGAAACAGTGGCGCAGGTCTGCAGCGTCTCCACGCTTCTCTTCCTCTCCCAGATGAAGCACCGTGTAAGATGGAGCAATGAATCCAGAATCAGCCGTGAGGTTCAGGTGAAACGCCTGACCGAACGCCTCGAACCGGTAATGAGCCCTCGAACCCGAGACCTCCGCGTCAGCGCTGCGCCTCCTCCTGCGGTAATGCAGCCGGTGCGGGAACGACTCTCCAAAATCATTCAAGCGCACCGGGGTGATGATCTCATACGCTGACAGCTGTCTGATGAAGCTCTCTGAAATCACATGAAGTGTGGGAGACGTTTCAGATATTTCATATCAAATCAGATACAATATGTGACCCTGGAGCACAAAAGTAGTCTTAAGTAGCACAGGTATATTTGTAGCAATACACAAAAATACATTGTATGGGTCAAAATTATAAATTTTTCTTTTATGCCAAAAATCATTAGGATATTAAGTAAAGATCATGTTCCATGAAGATATTTTGTACATTTCCTACCATAAATATATCAAAACTTAATTTTTGATTAGTAATATGCATTGCTAAGAACTTCATTTGGACAACGTTAAAGATGATTTTCTCAATATTTAGATTTTTTTGCACCCTCAGATTCCAGATTTTCAAATAGTTGTATCTCGGCCAAATATTGTCCTATCCTAACAAACCATGCATCAATGGAAAGCTTATTTATTCAGATTTCATAAATCTCAATTTCCAAAAGTTGACCATCATGACTGGTTTTGTGCTCCAGGGTCACAGATACAGGTCATTTTTCTAAATGCGTAAATGTGATTCGTCAGATCAAGTCAGCTGGTGTTTTGGTGAGTTTTAGTGGATGTATAGAGTCAGTTCTGCTCAGGTTCCTCACGCAGGTGCAGAGGAACCACAGGTGTAGAGAATCACATCAACTACCAACATCATCCACTAGCTAACCACAAACAAACACTGAAAAACCACATCTATTGATATAGCATTTCAAACATACAAACTTCTCTCTGTCAGAAGTGTGTTCATGCGTCTATCTTATGATAAATTGCACTTGCTTTGAAATGTATCATCCAATGCAATGACATGCAAAGTGTAATTTAAATTTCTGTATACTTTTTCATAGTCTCTAGATACTTTTTGGCCTCTGTATATAAGCTAAACACTAGAGAGGTGCATACTACACTCCATACCGTGTCCAACCTTAGTGTCATTTAAAGTGACAACATGTAGAATGCAAAGCACATACATTTACACAATATATAATTAATTTAAACATAACGCTAGTCTGTTTCGTTGCAAAACCGACAAACCGCTTTATAATGTCATAGAAACTAAAGCAAACTTCCAAAAGCGTGCATATAAACTAATCGTTATGGTGCAGATGAGACTGACCGGTGTCTTGTCCGGTTTGTGGTGTATTTTGTGCGTGTCTTACCTTGTTTGTGGTGGAGTTTGTACGTTTGCGCGGTGCGTAAAAGCGCGGAGAGGTGCCACACGAGACCCAGCAGCCGGACCGCAGGACCCCGCATGATTCCCCGGCGCTCTGCCTCTCGCTCTCCGCCGCTCCTCTCTTCGGTTCTCCGGGGCTGGAGCGTCTCTACCGGCTCTCCTCCTTCAGCTGCAGCTCCTCCGATCCGCCGTCATGCCGTTAAAACACCCGCACGGATCCGCTCATGTCGCGCACGGAGCCGTGGCTCTCTGTGCTCAATCTGTGCGCGCCGCACGGATCGGTGCCAACGGGCTTTTTTTTCGCTCCTTGGCTCTCCATAGGACACCCCCCTAAACACACACACACGCACACTCACAGCAGAGGCCGAGGCTCTTGGCACGCCCCCTACTCTAGTGCAGACTCCAAAGTCGACCACTGAATCACTTCACATCACATCAGAGCTCATTTCACTGAAGCACAACAAAACCTGCAGCAGTGACCGCTGACAGTGAGCTGTCATTAACACACACACACACAC